AGAATGCCATTTAAAGCGTGCGCGCCCCGCGCCCTTCCGCCTGACGTCGCCCCGCCACTCTGGGAAAGTAACGGCCTCTTCCCAGACGCCGCCCAGCCCCCTGCCAGCGGGCTCCGGAAGGCGGGCCCAGCCGGGAGCGTTCCCGGAGATCCCGGGAGAATGCGACCTGGCCGAGCTGCGTCCCGGGCGGGGGTCCTCGCATTGGCCGATCTGAGCTGGTGGCACTGTCTGCTCTGGGATTCCCCCCAAATCTGCACCAACCCGGTGGCCACGGGGACGCAGGTCCCCCTCCTCTGCCCCCAATCCCAGATGCACACACTCACGGAGCTGGTTATTCCGCAGCGGGTTCTGCGCGGGGTACGCGGAGCGCGTGGCGGCTCCCAGCTCTCCTTGCAGCCGGCAGCTCCAGGGCGCCCGGCTCCCCACGAGCTAAGCTGGAGGAAGAGGCGGGCTTCTCTCCTGAAGCCTTGCCACCCTGCTCCCCAGACACGACCACACACAGGCGCGCACGGATACAGCACACCCCGTTATTCCATCCTTGCCCTTCCTTACCCTGCATGTCTTCTGTGGCTCTGCACTCCTCCCCCACCCAAGTTCCTGGAGCTCCCCCATTCAGGCTCAGAAGAATGACACTAACAACAACAACAATAATAATAGCTCCCATCTGGAGAGCTTTACTCTCAGCCCTCCAGTGAGCTGTTACATATATTACCTCATTTAGTCCTAGCAGCCCTGGGAGGTAATTGGGATCCTCCCCATGTTACATATGAGAGCTCAGAAACTGGCCAGGCAGTAACAGAGGGAGCCAGGGGCTTGGATTCCCATCTCCACTGAGGGCAGATACTACAGAGCTGAACCCCACCAGCCCCCCCAGGCCTCTAAGCAAGTCTTCCAGGCAGGCCCTGCTTGTGCTCTGGGACTGCCAGGAGCAAACTGTGGCCACTGCCCGGCCACATGGGCCTGAGGTGGAGCACAGGGGTGCTGGGCCAGGCTCTCCACCCTGGCAAACAGCGGGGAACCTGGGAAAGCAGGGAGAGGGACGAGAAGGTGATGTCCCCTGCCCTCAGGGAAGTTGCACTGTGTGCGGCTGGGGAGACAGACTAAAATAAACCCTAAGGAGAACATGCTCCGTGGGGGAAATAAGGCAGGGAGGCGTGATGAGGGTGCAGAGGAGAGAGGAGCAGAGCCGTGGCCAGGACAGGCTCCCCGGAGGGGGTGATATTTAAACCAACACCCGAAGGAAAATGGTAACACAAAGTGCTCGAAGTGCGCATACGGGAGCTTTGTGTGCATCACCTCATCTAACATGTCAGCTACTTACTTTAAAAGGTTTTTGCCATAGTACGTGTGTGTACACGCGCACACACACACACTTGCCTGGGAAAGACAAGAGAGACAGAGAGAGGGAAAGTGAGGGAGGGAAAGTGAGAAATCATTCCCCGGATGGCCATGCCACAATCCCTTCCCCATTCTCCTCCTGGGACTTTGGACGTGCACACATACGTACCCTGCCTGATTTCCAGGCTGCCAGGTCTGGGGATCGAGGGGCAGTCGGCCATGAGGGAGTCCAGCACCGAGCCACTGCACCACAACCTGGCCCTGACGGTCTAGCTATCTTATTTACCTTTCTCAACACCCTGGCAACAAGTACCTTTTTAACGTATTTCTTGTTTTAGAGCATATATACTCACCAGAGACATGCAGAGAGTGAGTCTCAGAATTTGGGGCATGAATGCATACATGCCCAGTATGATTTTCAAGCTGCTGGGTCTGGGCCTTGAACCGTGCTGTTGGTCAACATGGAATCCAGTGCCTTAACCTCCATGCTACCTGCTGGCCCACAAGCACCTTTATTATCTCTATTTACAGGTCGGAAAAGCAGAGCACAGAGAGCTAAACACTTGCCCCAGGTCCCACAGCTAGTGGTAGGAGAGCTGCGATTCAAACTCAGGCAGCTTGGCTCCTGAGCCCTCGCCCCTTCCTGCCACACTGATGTGGTCTGCCCCATGCGGGGCACAGACGCAACCAGCCATATGATGCAGTGGGGAGAGAGTGCTAGGGTAGAGGGAACCTAGTGCATGGCTGAAGAATAAGCTGAACTTGCTGGAGGGACAGCGGGGAAGCCCCTGCGGCAAAGGCTAAGGCAGTGGGGGGGTTGGGGGGAGTCCCTCAAGGCCTTGTGCCAGGCTGTGAAGGCTGAATTCCCTGCCCAGGGCGGTGGTGAGGTGGGAGGGAGGGGGGACTCCATGCTGTTGCATGGAGAGGAGCCAAGGAGGAAGCAGGGTGCCCACTGTGAAGGTCAGTATATGGTCCCAGGCCTTAGACACTGGAGACCTGGGAGAGGAGATGGAGGGGAATGGTCAGATTGGGATTTGTCTGGAGAGAGACCGGCAAGAACTCGCTGATGGACAGAGGGGCAAGGCGGTAGGAGGAAAGAATCACAGTTGACTTTTTTTTAAAGACTTACTCGATTTTGTTACCATCATCATCATGAATACTATTTAACTTGGCCAGAGAGAGAGAGAGACAGAAAGGGAAAGTGAGAAAGGAAGCCTCCAGATCTGGGACTCAAAACATGGACGGCCGTGTGGAAGTCCAACACCTTAACCACCACGCCAGCTGCTGGCCCTCACAGCTACCTTCTGAGTGTTCAGCTGCAGCGAGGGTTAGATGGCGGGACCACGATTGGCAGGGGAAAGCTTTGGAGAAGAGTAAAGCCGTGGGAGAATCTGCTGGCTACCCATCAAACTCTACTGCCCACGGAGGCGAAGCCTGTGATGCTCCCACAGAAGTATATGAGCTAAACATCAACTCCTAGGGGGCCAGCAGGTGGCGTAGTGGTTAAGGCACTGGACTCCCACATGGCTGATAACAGTTTGAGTCCCGGGTCTGGTGGCTTGAAACTCACTCCAGGTATGTGTGCATTTGTGCCCCAAATCCCGGTCATCCCGCCTGGAGGAGGGGCGGTGTCTCTCTGTCCCTCTCATTGTCTCTGTCTGTCTCTCTGATGAGCACATGTGCCCTATGGCAAAACCTTCAAAGAAAAAGTCTAGTCCTGCAATCTTAAGACTTCTGGACTTTGGCATTCCTTTTAACATCAGCGTAGCAATATCCCGACTAAGACAGAGCCTGTTACCAGAAGAGGGAAACTGCTGTGAATTGAACCCCTGAAACGCAGTGCTGGCTTAGCTAGCTGGTGAGCAGTACACACGGACGTGGGAGGGAGGAAAGCTGTGCCCCTGCCATGCCGGGACGAAACGCTCACTGGGAACTTCACCTGTAACAAGTTGGAAGCCAGACCACATGCCTGCTGAATCTATAATTCCAGAAAAATGGTTGGCAAGAGCCAAAAACATTCGTATGTGTTGGCTGCTTAATGCTGCTTTTAGCAAGATGTTACAGGAAATAGATTGCGAGAAGAGAGACCGAAATAGAAAGAGCCCAGAAAACGGGTGTCCTTGGTGTGAGAAGAAGCCGGCTGGTTTTGTCCGAAGAGCAGATTAAGACTGTATGGCTCAGGGTCTCTCACAAAGCCTCTCAGTTCCACCAGAGGGCGGACCTACGGACTCTACCGTGGCAAGGTATTATACAGAGGTCACCTTGCAATCCCAGCTGTAGCATTTCGGGTGTCTGTAGGGCACCCTTCATTTTCAATGGGTGGGGCAAGGAAGACAGACTTACGTTCAGAAAGGAACTCCAAGTATGGGTCCTGACACACAGAACCCACTAGAACCAGATAGGCACGGTGCTAACTAGACTTCGGAAGGAACTGTCATCCCAGGTAAAATGTCAAGGTGGAACTGCAAAAGCCCATGGCTGTCCAAACCCAAGTCAGTGTGCAAGGAGGAAGGCCTCTCAGCACCCTGTTTCGTGGCTGTGGAGAAGGACAGGCCAAAACCATTTCTAGGAGGACAAGGTCAAGGGGCACAGGACAACGGGGTCACCCACAAAAAACCTCCTCCACTACCAGGGCAGGAAAGTCCTCCCTACCCTCGAGGGTAAACTGAGGCAGAGACTGCTAGCTGTCTACCCGGCGGGGTCACACTGCCCCAGTCCCCCTGCTACCTGGGAGAGCGATAACCAGAATCGCCAAGTTCAGGCAGTAGCACTAGCATTAGTTTGGGTCCCTGAATGACCACATGGAGCCGAGTCGTCCGCCGGCCTGAAACTCCTCCTCTGGAACCATCATACAAGTCAGTAATCAAATGAATAGTTTTGTTTTTATTTCTCTATGATTTTAGGGCCACCAGGTCTGGAACTTAAACCGCGGTCGGCTATGTGGGAATCCAGGCCTCAACTGCCATGCCACTGGCCAGCTGGAACGGGATATTGTTAAATGACTTTACTTTGGGCCTCTTTGTTATTTTGACTTGCCAATGTTGTGAAAGACCATTAAACATCCAAGTCCACACGGCAAGCAGGCCATTGGTGCTCAGGGGAGTGCAAGGGACAGAGGTGGGAGTTTCGGAGTCATCAGGGTACAGATGGTGATCAACCCTGGGCGGCTGGGTGAAGACCCACCTTCTGGACAAGAAGGGCTGGGACGGGCCAACCCCAGAGGAAGGTGAGCCAGTAGAGGACGCAGGGAAGCAGTGTCCAACGCGGCGGGAGGGAAACC